CCGACAATCAACCAGCCACACACTGGGCAGGTGGCTGGGGAAGGACAATCCCCTGAGGGCTGCTGTTTTGCTTCTATGGTTCCAAGAAATGCCTGTGGTCAGGCCCCAGCTCTCCTTGGTCCCTGAAAAAGCACCAGGCTAAGGGCTGGGGCTGGCCAGCAGGGGAGGGCAGTTGATGAGAGAGCTCGTTCCAGCTGAAGGGTTGGAGCTGTGGAGTCTGCACCGACAGGGACAGGCTGCGGCTGACAGGGGTCCCCTCCAAGGGCCAGTTTCAGGGCTGGAAGGGGAGGCAGCAGGGGAAGGTGACTTGAGGAGGCTCAGCTTTGCGGAGCCCTGCTCAGGCACAGGGAGGTGGAGATGCGCAGTGCCCCTGCCTTTTGACACATCAGCCTCCTGCACTGAGTGCTCCATAGGCTGAGGCTGCTGCCCCTGCCTACTTCCCACCTGTCCCCAGAGGCTGAGGATGGGGGGTCTTGTGCCCACCATACACAATGGGCCTCAGACCCAACTCCAGTCCTGGCTCCACAGCAGTGGCTGCCACTCACTCTGTCCAGAGAGTGGCTTGGGGTTGTGTGTCTTTGGGTTGCTGGAAAAGGTGTTGGAAGGTTCAGGATGGTGGGAGGGAGTGAGGTCCCTGAGGTTCTGAGGGGTTTGACCCGCGCCTGGACCCTTGCAGCAGTGCTGTGCGAACTTTCCTAGAACTCTGCCTTCTCCATTGTCAATAAAGCCTCCCCCTCATGACCTTAACTCTGGGCTGTTCTTGCTGGGGAGGCAGCAAGCATGCTGGTGGGAAGGGAAGCAGGGCTGGCAGCTGCCACCCCTTCAAGAGGCACTATAGACCCTAGCAGGGAGGCCAGGGGAGAAGTGGGAAGCTGGCACCTCTTCCCCCAGCTCAGGGGGACTTTCCCTCTCCTGCCTCAGGTGGCCCTGCCCTGTCAGCCTGTCTGGCCAACTCAACCTTTGGGCACTCACCCGGCTCTGCAGCCATGGGCTCTGTCTCTACTCCCAGGGACCTGCTGGAAGGCTGGAGTGCCCAAGGAGAGGGGTATTATAGGCATTAATGTAGTCGTTGGAGCACTAACTCTCAAGCCAACTGCCTGGGTTCAAATCCTGGCTCTAGCTGTATGACTTTTGTCAGTAATTTAATCTCTCTGTGTCTCAGTTGCCTCATCTATAACATGGATGCTAATAGTACCTACCTCATAGAATTGTTTTGGGAGTAAATGAAAAATATGTAAAATGCTTAAGTGCCTGGTCTATAGTAAGTGCTCAATAAATGTTAACTCTTGTGATTGCTGCTGAATCAGCTAAATGATGGGAAAACTGGCCAAACAAGCGTTAAAGAGAGATGGTGCTTTCATTTTGCCCTTGGTCATATTTCTTTGCCGGGTCTTTCTTTCCCCATGGTGCCCCCTCCCAGCTGAGACCATGATTTTTGGGGCTGTGACAATGCCTATGACCTGGTCTCCCTCACCGTCCTATCCCTCCTGGCACGTAATGTTGAGCTCCCTACCTCCCAGCCTTTGCTTGTGTTATTCCCTTGGCCTAGACCTCCCAGGCCTCCTCTCTGTCTGTCAAATCCATAAAAATCCAGGCCGAATGATGCCTCCTCCAAACCTTCCCTGATTTCTCTGGAAAGTGAAGTTCCCTTCCTTCCCCTGCACTATGGGCATTCTCCTTCTGCCTGCATTTAGGGGTTTGCCTCCCCATCCCCAAGTCCATGGCTTCCTGAGGTCAGGGACTGTGATTCAGCACTGTGGCTGGCTTACACTGCATAGGTGCTATGCGAATGAACAAATGAATGAATGGATGAGAGATGGATGGCATACAGGACAAAAATCCAGGGTTATTGCTACAGTGTGAGGCCTGCAGACAGGGCATCAGTGAGGGTCTGTCCCAGGTGGCTCCAGAGGCATGGCCAAGGGGCCAGGAAGTTGCCACTGCTGGTCTGAGCTGCCCTCTCTGGCACCCACCCAGTCTCCAGCACTGATTCCTTTCCTTGCAGAGCTGACCCATTTCTGGTTTAGAGGGTGATGGGGGGAAAGCTACTCAGAGTCAGCCCAGCATTCTAGGAGCCTGGCTCTTGGGACTCTGCTCAGCTGCCCTTAAGGCCAAGGAGAAGGGCCAGACTCACTAATGAGGAGCTGCTGGCATCATCCTTGGAGCCCCATCCATAGTAACCTTCCTCCACCCATCACAGACCTTAAGGCTGCTTGAGAGTCTGAAGTCCACAGAACTGAGGGCTTCGCGCCACCTGCTGGCCACGGAGAAGACTTACTTCAGCAGAGAAAATCAGGGCCCCTGGTCCTAGGTTTTCCACCAACTCTGAGGGAGACCTCCAGCCTTAAGCGTAGTCCAGGGAGGGGCTGGAAAGCGCCAGGCATAGAGAGACAGTTCAACCAAGTCTCTTCTCTGCAAAGGTGTTCTTGCCCACTGATGGCGCTACCTCCACCTGGGGCACCTTTCTCTATGGCACTGGCCTCAACTGGACAAAGAAGTTCACCTGAGCGCCACTCAGCCCAGCCAGAACATCTGTGGTAATTTTGTTTCTGATATTCTGCCTCCAGGACTTCATTTGTTAGTCATCACATGACAGCAGAGGAAGCAGCCTGGCCTGTCCACACGCTGTGTGCAGAGCTGGCTCGCTCCAGGGCCCCTGAAAGGAGAAGGGAAGTATTGTGTGTCACTGTGGCCCAGCAGGACTATGAGAGAAGCACCATTCTCCTTTGAGTTTGCAGATGAGGAAACAGGATCAGAAGGGTTGGTGTCTTAGACCATTCAGGCTTCTATAACAAAATACCATAGACTGGGTGGCTTATAAACAATAGATGTTTATTACTCACAGTCTAGAGGTTAGGAAGCCCAAGATCAAGGTTCCAGTGGATTCAATGTCTGCTGAAGGCCTGCTTTTTTGGGGGGTGGGGGGTGGACAGAATCTCGCTCTGTCGTCCAGGCTGGAGTGCAGTGGTGTGATCTTGGCTCACTGCAACCTCCGCCTCTCAAGTTCAAGCTTCAACTTCCCAAGTAGCTGGGACTACAGGCATGTGCCACCATACCCAGCTAATTTTTGTATTTTTAGTGGAGATGGGCTTTCACCATGTTGGCCAGGATGGTCTCGATCTCTCAACCTCGTGATCCACCCGCCTGAGCCTCCCAAAGTGCTGAGATTACGGGTGTGAGCCACTGTGCCCAGCCAAAGGTCTGCTTCTTAAATAGACTGTCTTTCCCCTGTAATCTTACAAAGTGGGAGGTGTGAGGGAGCTTTCTGAGGCCTTGTTATATAAGGGCACCAATCCCATTCATGAGGGCTCCACCCTTATCACCTAATCATCTCCCAAAGGCCCCACTTCCAAATACTATCACCTTGGGCATTCAGATTTCACATATGCATTTTAGGGGGACATAGACATTTAGCCTATAGCAGGAGGTAATTTGCTAAGATCTCACAGCTAGTAAGAGGCAGATCCAAGATTTCAGTCTGACTATATCTAATGCCAGAGCCCTGCTCTTCCCTCCCCCTCTTCCCCACAGCACACTGTCCCAGTGACCTGAGCTCCAGCTTTTAGTAGGGTTGTACCTTGTTCTAAGTGTCAAATTCACCAGAGGGAGAAAGTTGTCTCCAGACCAAGGGCAAGAGGGAAGGTGGAACTCAGGAAGCCCCTGGGCCTCCCTGAGATCCCAGATTCAAAACTGACAGCAGGCTTGGCTGTTCTGTGACTGCCTAGATTACGTCCAAATCATCTATGGTGTCAGAACAACCTCCCTAGCACTTTCTCCGGCCCACGTGCATGGTGAGCCTGCCATCTTACCCCTTCTCACAGGAAGACTGGGGTTTTTGCCTTCCAGGCTATTCTTCTCCCAGCCAGTCAGGCGTCAGAGCAGCCTGACTGGGCACATCTGCCACCCATCTGTCCCTAACTCTTATCAATGGTGTGAGATGTGTCCTGGGCCTCAGTCCTGAACTTCACAGGGAAGCAAAGCCAGGCCACCCTCTTCCTGTGTGAAAGTCTTGAAAAACTGGACTATCTCATATTGGAACCTGCCCAGGCCTAACACCTGTGGATTCGGCATCTCTAGCCAATCTCACCATGAGACACACCTGAGCACCACTAATGTGTACCTCTGGCCCTTCTGCTGGAGAGGACTCATGCAGCTTCTCCAGGGCCCACTTTCCACAGGCAGGATGCTCTGTCCTTCACCTGAGCTCCTCCTGTGCATCCTTTTCTAAGGAGAACTTTCTCAGGGAGCTTGCATTCACAGGAGAGCCTCCCTGGCACTCCACAGGTCTCTGGGCTCCCCGGGGCCTCTGAGGTCTTCCCAGACCTAGAAATCAGACACTCTGTGTTGTACCAAGTGTGCAGATAACTTTGGAAAGAAGACATGAATTCTGTACATTAAAGTCATGTTGACCTCAGGTCCGAACAGCAGATTGATTCCAGCTTGAAAGAAGCTGGGGAAAGGAAGAACAGTGGGGATGGTCAGAGCTGGGCCAGAAGTGCCTTTTGTTGTGCTGGATTCTGGGTTATGGGCCATCCCTCTGCCAGATCTACTTGCCCAGAGCACTGACTCTTTATAGGAGGGGAAACAGGTGCTAACCCACACCCTATTCTAGTTCCAGCCTGGGCAGGTCCAACTCTGGAGTAATGTGAAGAGCAGGCTGCTTGGACTGGCCAACCTGGCTCCAGGAGTGTGAACTTCTGCCTTTTCCCCTGACCTCAGTTCCTGGCAGGCACCAAGGCCAGTGAGTGGAATGAGTAAGACAAAGTGCCTGTGCAACCCCACATCTTATTACCTTCACTGGGAGAAGCAACGATGTTCAGGTGTGCAGCACAGGGTGGCACTACCTAGCAGCTGTCTTTAGTTCATAGGCTCCAGTTAGCCCTTTTGTCAGCCATGTACCTTCCCTTCATGAAATGATATTGCTCCTTGCAACACAAATAGGTCCCAACCTCCTCCTCCCCAGATCATCAGCCGCCAAATGAAGCAAACCAGACGTTGGGTAGTCTTTCCTCTGTTTACTCTTTACACCACTTGATCAATTCCAACTTTTTTCACAATGCCATTATTATTGGGGGAAAGGGAGTAACTTCAAGTTAGTCCAGAGAGAAGCAATGCAATACAGTCCTGACTGAGACGCGGATTCCTTTTTGTTAAATGCCTGCTGCATCCTTGGTTTCCCATTCACCTGGGAAGTAGAATTAAAATCATTCCATAGTTCCATGCAAGGAGGGCAGCTCCAACTGCTCTTGAGCAGGCTGTCTGGGTCCTCAGGAAAAGCCACTCCAGTTACTCACACATTCTCTGAGAAACCTTGTCGTCTCTGCCATCTGTCTCTGCCAAAGTCCTTCAGGTGATTCCCCATCTCAAATAAGCGGTGAATGGGTTACTTCCCTCATTCTCATCCTTTAGTCCCCCTTGTATCAGTTTGAATCTTCCAGGAAGCAGCTTTCCAGATGGGGTTAGAAGTACAAGTGAGTTATTAGGGGTGGTTTCCGTGAAAGATAAAGGGGAGAGGCTGTAGGCGGGAAAGCCTCAGACTCCAGTGCAGGCTGTGAAGGGAGAGGCAGGGGAACCAGGGAGGACTAAAATGTACCTCAGGGTACAGTAAGTCCTCACTTAATGTAGTTGATAGGATCTTTGAAAACTATAACTTTTTAATAAAATAATGTAGAGCAAAACCAATTTTCCAATAGGCTAACTGCTATAAGAAAGAAATTCACGGGCCGGGCGCGGTGGCTCAGGCCTGTAATCCCAGCACTTTGGGAGGCCGAGGCGGGTGGATCACGAGGTAAAGAGGTTGAGACCAACCTGGTCAACATGGTGAAACCCCGTCTCTACTAAAAATACAAAAAACTTAGCTGGGCATTGTGGCGTGTACCTGTAATCCCAGCGACTCGGGAGGCTGAGGCAGGAGAATTGCCTGAACCCAGGAGGCGGAGGTTGCAGTGAGCCAAGACAGGCCATTGCACTCCAGCCTGGGTAACAAGAGTGAAACTCCGGCTCAAAAAAAAGAAATTCACATCATATTTCTGGTCATAAACATATAATCAAACTTCTAAATAAAGACCAAACACTTTAATATTTAACACTGAAATATACATATAAATGTAAACATATATACATTTAAGAATGATTACTAGGCCAGGTGCGGTGGCTCACCCCAGTAATCCCAGCACTTTGAGAGCCCAAGACAGGAGGATAGCTTGAGCTCAGGAGTTTGAGACCAACCTGGACAGCATGTCAAGACCTTACCTCTACAAAAAACACCAAAAAATTAGCCAGGCATGGTAACATGCACCTGTAATCCCAGCTACTCAGGAAGCTGAGGTGGGAGGATCACTTGAGCCCAGGCAGTGGAGGTTGCAGTGAGCCAAGATTGTCCCACTGCACTCTGGCCTGGGTGACAGAGTAAGACTGTCTCAAAAAAAAAAAAAAAAAAAAAAACTAAACTAAACTAAAAAGTAATAATTACCCAATGATTCCAGTGCAGAGTTGTGGGTGGCCAGATACTATCCCAGCAGCTCAGAGTACTAAGTGGGCATCAACCCTGGAGAGGATGGTATCCTGTTGTAGGGCATGCTCACAGCCACCCCCTCACTCACTTGGACTGGCACCATTTAGACAACCCAATTTACTGAAAGTGCACATCTTTGGGATGTGGGAGGAAATCAGAGTACCTGAAGAAAACCCATGCAGGGCCAGGTACGGTGGCTCATGCCCGTAATCCCAGCACTTTGGGAGGCCAAGGCAGGCAGATCACAAGGTTGGGAGTTCAAGACCAGACTGGCCAATGTGGTAAAACCCCATCTATACTAAAAAATACAAAAATTAGCTGGGCATGGTGGCTTGTCCCTGTAATCCCAGCTACTTGGGAGGCTGAGGTAGGAGAATTGCTTGAACTGAGACCAGGGAGGCGGGGGTTGCAGTGAGGTGAGATCATGCCACTGCACTCCAGCCTGGGCTACAGAGCGAGACTCCATCTCAAAAAAAAAAAAAAAAAAGGAAAAGCCCATGCAGAACATGAAAACTCCACACAGACAGTGGCTCAGGTTGGGAACTGATTTTTTTTTCTGTTAATGTGATAACAACATGACATCAAACAAAATGATGTTATTCCAGCATCATTCAGTACATCATTCCAGTACAACTGAAAGTCTTGGCCACCCCGGGTCCTCGAGATCAGCAGCTGGAGATCTGGGGATGTAGTACAGAATTCCAGTATCAGCTCCCAACAGGGAGCTCCTGCCCTGCTCAGTCAATGGCAGGAGCAGTCCGGGGACAGTATGGCACCAGCTGGAATACTGAAGCAGATCCTGGAGATCTTCAGCAGGAGCCTGTCAGCTGACTGCACTCCTCACACAGACGCTCTCCTGAGGGGTCTCAGAGGCACCTGTGGCTACCACATTCCTTTTGGTCAAAGCACAGCTTCCTGAGTTGTAGCACTTAGCTTATGCTGTGTAATAGCACCAGTGTACAATGGTGGCTTTAAAAAATTTTATATATTAATTTTATATGTTTTACATAAGAAAAGTGTTTTCCAAGTATTGGAGACTTGGCTCTGCCAACTCTGCTGATCTCAGATTTGCTCACATGGAGTCAGGTGGTTGTCATCTAATCTAGCCTGGCCTCCACTGGAGCAACAAGAATGTGGTAGCCAGCATCTCTCATCCTCCAGCAGGCTAGCCTGGACTTGCCCTTCTCTCAGCACCATTAGAAGCACACGAGGAAGCAAATGAAGACACACAAAGCCTCTTGAGGCTTACACTTAGAATTGGCATGCCTTCACTGCTGTCTCCTTACATTGGCTGAAAGAGGTCACATGGTTGGAGGCACTGCAAAGTTACACAGCAATGGACATGGACACAGGGAAGGGGGAAGGATTGGAGTCATCTTTGCAAACAAGCACGAGACCAAGCAGATCATAAAGGATTTGTTTTCTTTTTCCCTAAGTGTCATTGCTGATGTTGGGGTTATCAGTAATAAACTGAGAGTGTTACAAGCTCACCAGTGCACCACAATGTAGCAGTCTATCATTGCCCAAGATATCACCTAAAGTTCTTTGTCTCACAACCAAGAAAATTAAGGAGCATGGACCCCAAACATGAGGTTGCAGCAAAAGTTTAAAAAGCAAAAAAAAGCTCTCCGCTGCCAAGAGGGGGTCCAAAAGATGGTTATCATTTCATGGTTGAATATAGAGGCTTTTATAAGAAATTGATGAGAGCTGGGTATCTCATTTGCCTAAGGCATGAATTTTTGGTAGTTCCACCCTGTCCTCCAGTGTACATGCAAGCTCTTAGCTTGAGCTACTCCATGTGGCTTTGTTCCCCTTACTGCACATGTCTCAAGAGATAGAATTTTCCATTGTGAGCATGTCTGGGCACGTCTCTTGTGTAGCCTTTCTTACTGATGCAGCTGTGAACATGTCTAAGGCAAGCCCCCCATGCAAGTTATCTTATCTGTGCCTGCAGTTTGGTGTTCTTTCATTTGAAATACTTTTACCAAGGACCCACCCTAACTGCCTGCCTTCCTTCATCCTCTCTCATTCCCCACTTCAGGAGTGGAGACCCCAACTGCTGTTGGGGAAAGTGGACGATGACCGCTCCTGGCTGCTTCCTGCTGGAAGGGGGCATCATTGGGGTTATAGCAATTAGGGCTCCTCCTAAGATCAGTCTAAGGGTCCCTGGAAGAATGGTGTGTCTATGCATCGTTCCATCTGCAGCACCATTTGGTGTTTAATAGCCTCTAAGTGAGAGGAAACAATTTGTTACAGTATTGAATATACGAAGTCCAAACATTCATACAAAACACACAAGCAAAATGGGCCCTAATAAAGGAGCTAACCAGTTCCACAAAGAAGGATGGAATCCATTAAGGAGGGATTATAGCCAACTGGGACTGGAGCCCACATTTTCTCTTAACCTGTCAATGATTCTAATTTGATCTTTAAGCACCTGTAGGTTTTCTTCTACTTGACTAGAGGTGTTGATCTGGAATTGACATGTTTCTTTTAAAAAGTGCACAGGTACCCCCTACTTTGGCCATAGGATATCTAAGGCCTGTCTATTATGCATAACTACTGAGGCTAAAGATATTTTGGATTATTGGTGTGTTTCTATGGCTCCTACTGTTGCCTTCTACTCTTGTTGCATCATAATAAAAATATTAAATGCTGATCTTTCAAGGAGAGGAATACCAGCAAACCAAAATAGGCCTCTAGCTATAAAATCCCCTATCCGTGGTTTTTCTAAGCATTGTCATGTGCATGTATGTCCTATGCAATCTTCTCCTTCAGTTAAATCTCCATACGAGGGCATGGAAATGACAGACCTCTTTGTTCGGCACATCTGAAATCGCACAGTCGCTAGAAAAGAGGCTAGGCTAGGGATGTCCCCAGATGATGCTGCCGTATCAGTGGAATTTAGAAATAATAAGTCAGGGACCACTGTCACAATAGTGCAGGTTTCCTTTCAGTGCCTAGAGAGGATTAAGTGTAGCCAGGAGCCACAAAGGAAATAAAACTCTACCCTTGAAGGTCCAGTTCTAAGTTGTAGCTTGTGAGAGACACAGGCAGATCTTTCTCATATCTTAAGAGCGTCCCCCTCTTAAATATAATAGGAACATCTTTGGCATAGGGATATCCATACTCAGGATAGTCACTCATGATGCCACGTGGAATTTTACATGCTAAATGAGAAGGGTCCACTTGACAAATGGAGTTTTGAAAGACCAGGGACACAATATGTCCCAACCAATATCTAGGATAATCCTTGTGGCAGGGGCTCTCAGTCCAGAAGTCTCCTGTACACCCACAGATTTGTAGGCCACTACTACTAAGCATCATAAAAAGGGGTCTGGAATTCCATGAGGGTGCATGTCTGGGAAGGCTCATGTGTTATTTTTTACATTATAATGCCATGTGTCAGGGCAGTTACCCAGAACCTGCCATTCCCAGCAGGACTTCCAACCAGGAGAAGAGGCTAGATTCCAAAAGCCTCCCCATATATAAGGCTTCCAATTTTCTTAGATCATCCTTATTGTGTCTTTTTCTCCAAATGTCTGAGCTTTTGGCAATTACAGGTGTGTTGTTACATATCTGAGATCTCCCAGATATGATCCTTTCCCTCTGCTTTTAAAGCAGGAAGAGGCATTTGCTATTATTTGGCCAACTTTTCCTACCCTGAGGGTGTGAAGTTTATCTTTAGGGAAAGTGTTTTCCGGTACCAGGAAGGAAATGCTTTCCTGGGAGGAGTTAGTTACCCAGTTGAAAGTGCTCCCATACCATGTTCCATTCATGCCTGACAAGTCTTCAATAGTTAAAGGTAAAGCTAAGAAAGGGAATCTTAAGACAGCAAGAACCAGGTCATGAAGAGGTCCCTTAGTGTTACTGAACTGAGCAAACCACTCAGGTCAGACTCAGTAATTAGTCTCATATAAATGGGCCATGGCTGATACTGCAGAGGCTAAAGGGTGTGATATATTCCCAAACCCCATTAAAAGCCCTAGCAGACTCAGCAATAGTAAAACTTTCAGGTTTACTTTTTGTCTGTGACTATTATCCCTGCTATAAGGATAATAAGTAAGCCAAGTATCACAGCAATTGATACTCTCTGAATATTCCAGTCAGGAGGTGCTAGAGTCAGGATTCAGAATCCAGTCAGCATTCCTACAGGCGGTGCAGTGGATAGCCCTACTGCAAAAAGTAAAGTCAGCAAAATAATCCCTGCAAGTATGGTGTGGTGAACAATTTACATCTGAGGTTTTATCAGTTAAAATGCTGAACCTCCCTTTGCAGGTCTGTAAAGTTGCAGATCTGATACCAAGGACAATCAAAGTCTCGTCACAAATATGTGTGAAAAAGAAGTTGCAACACTTGATGATGGTAGATCTTGAAAGGAAAGGTGGAAATAATGGAAGGAATCTGGCAGGGTAAAGGTAGGACTGAGCTAGACAGGTAGTCCTCATTCATTTACTTATCTTTTGTTCTTTTCAGTTTAAGGTCCTCAACTTCTTCACATCCGTATCTGGGATGCTCTTCTGGGCTGTCAGGGGCTGCTGCTTCTGCTTTCCAAGCCCTGGCTGAAGTATGATAAATCCAAGAGTTGATTCCTGCAACTTTCACTGCTGAATGGGTGCAAACAGTATAGGTCCCTCCCACCTGGAGCCTAGAGGTGGGAAAGAGAAGGGAGAGACTTCACCAGTACTAAGTCTCCGAGGTTCAGTAAAGGTTGTCCTATTTCTTGGGGTTGGGCTTCCAGTTGCTGTTTTAATTCCCATTGGAAGTGGCCCAGGGAAGTTATATGTTTGACTAATTCAGAGATTTCCTAGTCTCATAAAAGATAATTGATAAGGAAAGGCCACCCATTCATAGTTTCAAAAGGGCTCAAATCCAACTTTGAAGGAGTGTTTCTTATCCTCAGTAGGACTAAGGGGAGATGAGTCACCCAAGAAAGGTGAATCTCCTGAGAGAGAGTTTTCTGAGGCATCTTTTGATAATATCATTTGTTTTCTCTACCTTTCCTGAGTATGAGTATTGTGGTCTCCAGGCACGATGAAGATGGTACTATATGCCTAGTGCCTTTTAAGCCCCACTGGATAGAGGCTGCTTTAAATGAGGAGCCACTGTTGCTTTGGAAGTACTTATGGAGACCGAAGCAAGAAATTATTTATTTAATAGTATTCTCACCTCCTCAGAGGTCTTTTCTGTTTGGCATGGGAATGCCTCTACCCAGTAAATGAGGGTATCCACCCACACCAAAAGATATTGAATGCCATTTATTTTAGGCATATGGGTGAAGTCTATCTGCCAGTCCTCCCCTGGGTAACTTCCCATCCTTTGAGTGTGGCAGGGAAGAAGCCATCTGTTAAGGGGATTATTTTTAAGATGGGTTTCACAAACATTAACGACCTATTTGACCATTTTCAGTAGAGTGTTTCCTAGGTGTTTGTTTCTCAGAGTTGGGAGAATTATCCTCTGTGGACTTGCCTGATGTAACTGCTAGGAGAGCTGGGCCAATTCTACAACACTGACAAAGATCTGGGTTGTCTTGCAAGGCAAAGAAGCCTTTCACATAAGGTACCTTGGACCATTTGCCCTCCTATCTGCAGAAAAGATCTAGTTGTTGAATGGTATTAAAATTAACACTTCCCTCAGGAGGCCAGGCCTCCCCATCCTGCAGCTGGTAAGATGGCCATGCCCAAGTGCAAAAGAATACAAGGCACTCTTTCTTCAGAGTCTGAATGTCAAAGGAGTTCCAGTGTTTCAGAATGCACTTGAGAAGAGATGGCTGGAGATGATTTGTTATACAACTGGAGATGATCTGTTACATATCTAGAAAAAGAGGAGAGAAAAGGCATCCTGTAGTCTCCTTTGTCCTTCTGGAGTGACCTAGGGTAGAGAGAAGACAGAAGAAGCATCCCCCTTCTCCTCTTCCCCACCATTTCCTCAGGTTCCTGGCAACCATTATAGGTGCCACCCAAGGATGCAAGTATGACCTTCACCCATGAATATGGAGGAGCTAGCTTGTGCTCACCTGCTCAAGGCTCTAGCTCTCCACCTGCTGGATTCCTAGACCTACTTGGCCCATAAGGCTCCCAAGATTCCCCAGGGCCCTGGGAAAGATTGTGAGTAGTTCAATTTGGGCAAGACCCTTTAAGGAAGGGAGCATTTTAACTTTATCCTTACATCCTCTTACTACCACCCAGGCAAAGTCATGAATTCCTAGAGAATGAGATTGATTGACTTCTAAACCTAAGATCATCACTTTCTCACTTAGATGCCAATGTAGCTGTATGCAGAAGATGCCTCAAAAGAACGTAAGAACTGAGTGGCTGTCCTCCATCCAATGGGGATAACACTGAGGCTAAAATCTGTCTTGCTAGGGTAGCTTCCTCCCAGCTGTTGAAAGGGGAGTTCTTCTGCTTACAAATAGGTCATGGGGCCTGTTCACTGAGAGAGGGATATAAGAGGGAAAGGAATAGGGGAACCAGGGTTTGGGCAAAGGGGCAACAAGGCTTCTCACAAAGAAAAATCCCATCCCACTAGGTGGCACTGCAGGGTTTGAAGTATTAGGAAAAAAATTCTGACTCCAAATTCTTTCCAAGCAGAGGTTAGAAAGAGAGATTTGGGGCTTCATAGGCTATTCCCATAATATGGCGCCCTGCAGAAAAAGACTAGTTTGTCTCATAGGGGGATTGCTTAAATTCACTGGGCTGAGCTCTTACATGAAGGAAAAACCAACCCAATGGAGAAAAGGGTATTCGCTTAGGGTGAAACATCCCCCTATACAGCACCATGAATGTCTATCATTGCACAACAGAAAAGGCCCTTACTAAGTGAAAGTTTAGACTGAAATCTTGAAGTCTCCCTGTCTCAAGGAAATCACAAAAACAACAATTCTTTGAGATACATTCCTCATTTCTAAGACACTTGCTGATTTTGCTTAACAGGATTATCTCCCAGTCTGTAAAAATACCCACAACATTGCATACCAAGAAGGAATAGGAGAACTAGTAGCTGCAAAAAGCAAGGAAGTAAATGCAATAGAAATTTCCAGAAGTCCTGATGCTGACAGCCTGATGGGCTGTTGGGGGCTGGAGTTAGTCCAGAGGCCTTCAGGTAACACCGAGGAGAATCCTCAAACAGAACCTTCAGTTGCCCTCGGACCTCCTTCTAGTCTATGTGACAGCTGGTCCTCTGTGAAAGGAAACTGGATTGCAACAGTGCCAACATTCCCAATATCTGAGGATGAAGGGGGACTGACAAAGTACTCTCTAGCAAGCCTGTTCCCTGAGTCTCATAAGGTTGGCAGCCGCTCTAAAAGCTTTTAAGTGGCTCATGGAGCCCAGTGTTTTGTTCGGTCTTGAGGGAAAAAATCTGAGGACAAGAAGCCTCAGATTCTATGTAAATGTGCTGGTTAAAATAGTTTTAGGTAATAAAAGGGCCCTCAATTATTTATGGGCCTGTCAAGGCAACATCTGCCCAATAGCGAGTATATGTCATTATAAATTTGTTAGGAGAAGGGGAATAATCAATTAAGAAAAAAGGCTCTTTATCTAAAGTTGGCCATTTAGATTCCTGGGACTTATTCTGGTTGGATCTAGGCCAGTGAGAAAATTGGATAAAAAGTGGTTTTCAAACGTTACTTGTGATATTCATGACTGTTGTCATATTTCTTGCCTTTCCCTGGCTCTGATATTCAGGTGCTATTGAGAGAGGAGGAAGGAAGAAACTGGTCAGGCAGGCAGTTAGGGTGGGCCCTCAGTAAAATTCTTTCAAACAAAAGAACAGCCTGAAAAATCAAACTGCAGATAAGGGACTTGCACAGGGGGGCTTGCCTAAACCATGCCTACAGCCACACAGATAAAAAAGCCTACACAGGAGATTTGCCTAGATGTGCCCACAATTGAAAATTCCATCCCCTGACATATACACAGTAAGGGGAACAAAGCCACACGGAGTAACTCAAGCTAAGGGCTTGGGCCTAACTTGGGCCTATTTACATAGGTCTCTTGGTCCTCTAAAGCTTGAGCTGTTTTGCTTACTATTTGGGCCATATTCAGGGATAAAAATGTTTAGAAACATGTTTTAGTTTAGAAATACCCAGTGAGGGTTAGAAATTCTTAGTCAAACCAGTAAAAATCTGGTGGTAAGTTATTGACCAGATAAAATATGAAGAATTCCCCTCTCTGAGCCATAGTTTCCAAATGCATGAGAAAAACGAACAGTCCACACATAGTTCGGGCCTGGTCTGAACACTAAGGTCTGGTTCATTCACAGAGATATAATACTTGTTTAGTATGAAGAAACGGAGAGAGGCTTTACAACACATCACCCCAGGGTCACAGACCACGACACAGAGGTCAGATAACTAAGTTCTTCCCCAGCACATCATCAGAAAAAGTCACACACCACAAACACCCAGCAATACCAACAATCCCTCCACATCCATCCTGAGAACCCCAACACCACCCAATGGCCATGATCCCTCAACTCCTGGAGCCAACCCCAAGACATAGGGCTGAATTTGTTTTGGAGCCCCTTACCTTTTTGCAATAAATCAAAACAATTAATAAAATCAGTCCAACACCAATGAGTGGCAAAATCCACCAATAAATGGCAAAGGTAGCCGTCTTCTCAGATTCTGGAGAGATAAAAGGAAAACATTAACAGGAAACCTACTGGCAAGGGCCAGAGAAACCACACAACTGCTGCTGGAATCTGTATGGTTGTGTCATTTTCCTTGTCAGAGATTTAACCACCAGCCCTCTGCTACATGTCTCTGCACCTCCATTCCTATCACATACACCTCCACACATCCAACAGTGTATGTAACGCTTGTCAAAAACATGGAAAATGAACACCACATGCCACATATGTGTGCCACCCTCATCTTCAAACCTTCTGTACTACAACACCATCTTCTACCCCAAGTGCATACCACCCAGACAGCCCCTCATACCATACATGCAAGGTATGTTTCCATTTCATACTCCCCATGGCCACACATACTGTCCCTGCAGCTCTGCACACACCACCCCCACACCCTCCTAGTCCTTACTTCCAAGAATAATTCCTCTCTCCCTCAAGACCATCACAGGCTCCATCTGGCATACCCTGACCACATTCCTCAGGGACCCCAGTCACTCCCTGCCTTCCTTACCCCTCTCAGCCCCAGGGAGATGCATTTTACCAGAAGGGCCACCCTACCCAAGACTAGAGCTATGACCTCGAAAAGCCCCACCCCACCAGGAGTGGGTTTCCTGTAAGCTGTGTTGTCCTAAGGATCAAGTGTGCCTGGAGAAGGCACCGAGCATTTGCAAAACCACTGTACTGTAGCTTCCCCATCTTGGGACAGAGCCCATAAGACAAGACTACTGATTCAGCCTCTACCAGCCAACAGTGTACCGTAGACCTAGGGCCTGACTAGAAGGGCTGCTGGCAGGTTTCCTATTTCAAGCCATATGGACCATCCGGAACCCTGAAGCTGCCATGAGCTGACAAGTAGGCCCTGCTCCACCTGATGACTATGGTCACCACTCTCTACCTACTAGACCATCATCTGCCCTGGCCCAGGGACCTAGGCTGGACTGCTGACTCTGGGGCTGAGCTAGGCCAGACGCTAGCTTGGTCCTTCCAGTCCAAGTTTTCTCTCCTTCCCCTTCAGGCCCCAGCTAAGACCCTGGGCTGTGTGGGAACAAGTCTTATGTTATAGTCCCTCAAGGCAAGGAAGAGAAGAAATATCCAGAAAGACCCTTACCAGAAAATCTCTGCTGAGAAGTCAGGGTAAAGTTGCTCCTCCAGGGGGTATACAAGGACATGTGCTGTACCACACACTGGTAGACAGTCTCAGGGTCTTCCTGAGAGGATTTCAGCTTCAATTTGCTGGTGACACTAAATGTACCATCCACATTCTTGATTGTGGGACCAGGGATGACATCCTCAAAAATCTCTACATGATGGGGAACCTCCTGGGTCCACTTCTCCCATGTTATATTAATAGCTTCTGGGTAGAACCCACTTGACTCACACATAATATATTTTCCTTCATTCTCTTTCACCACCACTTGATCCAGGAACAATCTGCAGGCTGGGGAAGCTGCCAGCGGAAAGAAAAAAAGTCATACAGAGTTGGGCCCCACACCTTATACTAAGTGGCTTCTACCATACCCTCACACCTGTGCAGCACTGCTCCTATAGCTAGACAAGACAAAAAACACAGGATGCCTACTCTCTTTAAAGATGGGGACCCTGAGGCACGAGTGATGCTGCAGCCATGTCCAGCAATGAGCTGGAAATTTACAAAACCAGACTGGGCACTCCTTAAGGGTAGGGAGGGTCTAGCTTATTACCAGCCTGACCTCTAACCCATGGCAAGCCTTCAGGACACGTGGTTGATGGAATGCGAGTCTGCTTGGGCTAAATATTCTGGGTGTGTTTGTGCCAGTGCCAACCGGGTGTTGACATGCTGTGACCCCAACTCTCAGAGCAATTTTGTAAAGCACAGTTTTCTTAAGCTATGTTGTGCCACAGACACCTTTCATAATCTGAGGAAAACCTTGGAGCACTGTTGTGGTAGAGATTGCTAATTGCTCTTCAGTTTCCATTCTACGCATTTTTAGCTGGACATGACACATCCAGATTAAAGCTGCATCACCCAACCTCCTCTACAGGTAGGTTTGGCCATGCAAACTCAGGGTCTAGCAGGTCTGGATTTAAGCAAAAGTGGCAAGAGCAACTTCTAGGTAGTAACCTTAAGTTAAAAGGATGTCTTAAAGGACTGTCTCCTTTTTTCTCTCTCCCCTTCATATTTCCTGCAGAGTGTTTGGAATACTATGTGATGACCAGAGATGGAGAAGCCATTTCCAAACACAAGGTGGATGATACAAATTGAAGACAGCAGAGTTACAAGATAAAAGGATCCTGGGGCCTAGATGATCCAGAGGAGCTGCCATATCTGCCCTGGGCTGGCTACATTAGTGTGAAAAGGGAAATAAACTGCTATTTCAAAAGCCACTGTTGACTTCCAATTTTCCCTCTGACATAAAGACCTGAGAGGTCATCACTCGCATCTTCATAATAAGAACAAAAGCTGAACAAATTGAAAATCAACAACTTTTCTTAGATCCCTCAGAGAATTGAAGTGACAGGGCAAAATGCCACTGAGAAAACTGGAGAAAGAAGGAGATTCAGGAAATTACAACTAAGATCAAATTACCTCATGCTGCTGGAGTCATAAACTGGTAGAAGTACTTAAGCAGTAGTTCTGACAAATTGCTAAAGGATGAGTGTGGACTAGCTTGAGAATAAAAACCTCCTCAGGTCCTGGTCTTAGGGATGGTACCATACTTTCATGGATTTTCATCCTCAGGACCCAGTCTTGGGGATGCTACTATACTGTCATGAGGTTTACTTCCAGGAACTCCACCAGATTCTCACCGTAAAGATGCAAGAAAAATCTTCTCCTCTTTCTGGGGATTGAAAGAAGTAATCATTTTATAATACACCCATATTATTCCTTCCAACTCAAAGAAAGATGTCAGAGCCTTATCTGACCTGGGAAAAGAAAAATAGCCACTCTAGCTGTAGATATCTTTTCTGTATCACTTAAAAAGAGAGAAAAAGAAAAAGCTAAGAAATACTTCTGAAGGTCACAGCCCAGAAGCTCAGGCCACTAAAAGAATAAGATTTAATCATAAAAGTATGGACAGATTCTCCTCCAACACTTTACCATCATATCAACAGGGCTCCAGCATAATAACAGAAGATTATAAGTGAGAGAGCTATAAGGCACAGACCCTATTTATGGAGTTCAAAAGAAAACTCAAAGACAACAGGAAAGGAGATAAACCACTAGAGGAAACTGAAATTTCTGGCACCTATAGCTACAATAAGCATTAAATACAACCCAGCTCCTAGCCATATTGACAGAAAGCCTCATAATAAAAGCCCATTTGGCTCAGTTCCTATTACCTGATACATAACATCTATCTTTCAACTGAAAAATTACAAGACATGCTAAAAAGTACATGAAAACAAAGCAAGTATCAGACCCAGACTCAGGTATGACACAGATTTTATAATTATCATAGAGGGAATTTTTTAAAAACTATAATTCAAATGTTCAGAGTACTAACAGAAAGAGCAGATAACATGCACAAACAGATGGGTAACATAAGCAGAGATATGGAAACACTAAGAAAGAATAAAAAGTGAATGCTAGAACTCAAAATACCATAAAAGAAATGAAGAATGCCTTCAATGGATTCATCAGTAAACTTGAAACTGACAAGGAAAGAACCAGTGACCTTGAAGATGTTAATAGAAACCCCCCAATCTGGGCAGAGGTGGCTCATGCCTGTAATCCCAGCACTTTGGGAGGCCAAAGTGAGTGGATCACTTGAGGTCAGGAGACGGAGACCACCCTGGCCAACATGGCAAAACCCTGTCTCAACTAAAAAAACAAAAACTAGCCAGGCGTGGTAGTGCATGCCTGTAGTCCAGCTACTGGGGAGGCTAAGGCACAAGAATCGCTTGAATCTGGGAAGCAGAGGTTGCAGTGAGAGAAGATCCCACCACTGCACTCCAGCCTGGAAGATAGAGTGAGACTCTGTCACAAAAAAAAAATTAAAAAAAAGAAACTTCCCAAACTGAAATATAAGGAGAAACAAGAATTTAAAAAAACAGAATATCTAAGAACTGTGAGATACTGCAAAAGGCGTAGCATATGTATAAAATGGGAATATGAGAAGAAGAAAAGAGAAAGGAGCCGAAGAAATAATTTGAAGAAATAATGGCTGAGAATTTTCCAAAAGTAATGATAGACACCAAACTACAGACCCAGGAAGCTTAAAGAACACCAGGCAGGATAAATATCCAAAAATCCACATCTAGGCATATCATATTTCAGTTTTAGAAAGACAAAGATGCCCAAGCCTGGTAGCTCACTCCTGTAATCCCAGAACTTTCAGAGGCCAAGGCAGGCAGACCACTTGAGCTTGGGAGTTCAAGACCAGCCTGGGCAAAATGGCGAAATGCCATCTCTAATACAAAAATTAGCCATGAATGGTGGCACATGCCTGTGGTCCCAGCTACTTGGGAGGCTGAGGTAGGAGGATCGCTTGAGTTTGAGCCCAGTAGCTCAAGGCTCTAGTGAGCTGTGATCACATCATTGCACTCCAGCCTGGGCAACAGAGCAAGATGACGGGAAGGAAAGGAAAAGAAAAGGGAAAGGGAGAACAGGGGGAGGGGAGAGGGAGGGAAGGGGAAGGGAAGGGAAAAAGAAATTGAGTCAATAATTAATTAAAAAAAAAAAAAGAGCCGGGCGTGGTGGCTCACACCTGTAATCCCAGCACTTTGGGAGGACAAGGCAGATGGATCACAAAGACAGGAGTTTGAGACCAGCCTGGCCAATATGGTGAAACCCCATCTCTGCTAAAAATACAAAAATTAGCCAGGTGTGGTGGCAGACACCTGTAGTCCCAGTTACTTGGGAAGCTGAGGCAGAAGAATCGCTTGAACTTGGGATGCAGAGGTTGCAGCGATCCAAGATCATGCCACTGCACTCCAGCCTGAGCAACAGAGCAAGATGTATCCCCTCACCCACCTCAAAAAAAGAAAAAAAATCACTTTCAAAAAAAGAAAGCACCAGGGTTTGATGGTTTCGGCAGTTAATCCTACTAAACATTTAAGAAATAAATAATGCCAGTTTTTTACAATTTCTTCCAGAAAGTAGAAGTAGACAGAGGCAACACATTCTACCTTATTCTACCAGCCCAATATCACCCTACTGCTAAAAGCACATAATGCGTTACAAGAAAATATAACTACAGACCAATACCACTCATTAAAACAGATATAAAATCCTCAAGAAAATATTAGCAAATCTAATCCAACAATGTATAAAGAAATTATACACCATAACCAAGAGAGGCATATTACACATATGCAAGGCTGGTTCATCATTCCAAAATCAGTTAATGTAAGTCATCATTTCAACAGGCTAAAGAAAAACTTACATGATCATACCAATAATGCAGAAAAAGTATCTGACAAAACCCAACACTTATTCATATGAAAAATTCTTAGCAATCTAGGAATAAAGGGAAACTTCCTCAACTTGTTAAAGAATATTTATCAAAAAGTAGCTAACATCATACTTCACGGTTAAAAAGTAAAATCAGGAATGGGCAAGATGCTCCTTCTCACCACTCCTGTTCAACATTGTAATGGAAGTCCAAGCTAGCATAACAGGGCAAGAAAAGGAAATAAAAGGTATAAGGTTAGTATGGAAGAAACATGAGGCAGGCACAGTGGCTCACACAAAAATGGAAGCCCAGCACTTTGCAAGGCCAAGGCGAGAGGATCACTTGAGCTCAGGAGTTCAAGAGCAGCTTGGGCAACATAGTGAGACCTCATCTTAATAAAATAAAATAATGGAAGAAATAAAACTGTATTTTTTACAGACAGCATGATTTACGTAGAAAAATTCCAAGACTGGTCCGAAAAAAAAAACCTCCTAGAATGAATAAGTGATTAAATCAAGTTGCAGGATACAAAGTTAATATGCAAAAATCAGTTACTTGACAGGAATGAACAATTGGACAATTGGAATTTGAAGTTAAAACTATAATACCATTGGCCAGGTGTGGTGGCTCACACCTGTAATCCCGGCACTTTGGAAAGCGAGGCTGGTGGATCATTTGAGATAAGGAGTTTGAGACCAGCCTGGCCAGCGTGGTGTAACCTTGTCTCTACTAAAAATACAAAAATTAGTCAGGCCTGGTTGCACATGCCTGTAATCCCAGCTACCTGAAAGGCTGAGACAGGAGAATCACCTGAACCCAGGAGGTGGAGGTTGCAGTGAGCCAAGATAGCACCACTATACTCCAGCCTGGGCAACACAGCAAGACTCTGTCAAAAAAACAAACAAACAAAAAAGATGTCAAATTTTCCCAACTTGATCTATAGATTCAATGCAATCCCAATCAAAATCCCAGAAAGTTATTTTGCAAATATCAACAGATTCTCAAGTTTATATGGAAAAAAAAAAAAAACAGAGAGCTAACACTATACTGAAGAAAGGCAACAAAAATGAAG